TTTACTGAATAAATTTATTATAAATATTGAATAAATAATTTTTTCAATATAATTTATTTATCCTGTGCACTGTTTACCTTATCTTTATGTACACTATGTGCAAAAATTACGATCAATTTCCAAAACATTTTTTGTTAATAACTTTTTAACAAACAACGAGCGACGGCTAAAACTTCCTGAAGGTTACTCAGGAGGATGACCTCTATAATATATGTCAAGATTAAGGTGATCAAAGGTGACTCCCCTAAAGTAAACATTTACCGACAATATAAATGCAATGTAACATGCGTTGTATGTAACAGCAGCGTTGGACATTAATCGATTAAAACGTTCTTTGACTAAAATAATCGGCAAATCAATAATAAAAAAATGATCACTCGTCGTATATGTAACCACACGAACAGTTTGATTAATTGTTAATCAAATTAATTAATTGTTAATTAATTGTTAATCAATGTACGATCAATCACACCAGAGTTTGATCAAGAATTAATTTCATCAATCGATGAAATTATTTGTGTTTGTATGTATGACGATAGATTAACCGATTGTAGATTTGTCGATTACTTTTGTCAAAGGAAATTTCAATCGATTAATGTCCAACAGCCTGTATACAGTTACACTGCTGGACGGAAAATTACAATATTGATACAAGTGCTAAGTGTTGGTTGGTGTTTGCTGGGTAATATCAAGGACGAAGGAAAATTCCGTTATGACCTGCACGGGAAAAACGTTTGGCTGGATCAATCGAATTTCCGGTGAAAAATACGAACGAGTCAGAAAATTTCGATTGAGATCACCGCAATTCTGGTCGGGTTAATCAAAAATCTTGCGAATTTGAATGGAATTTTGGTGACTGACTGGAATTTCCGGCTCGTTTCTCCAGAAGTTCGATATTTCACCAGAAAATTTTGATTAATTCAACTACATTCTTTACTCGCGTTGCAGACATGAATACTGACGCGGATAAATGTGTATTTCGCGATGAATTTTAGATCTGCTATTTTCTTGGCGCCGTAATCGGTATAATCGCTGCCGCCGTTACGGAATTTGCGAAGAGCGACACGACGATCGTGTATATTATCGCCGTGCTAATTGGCGCAGGTAGTTCTATCACGATGGTCACGGCGTTGAGCGTGACTGCCGAATTAATTGGCTCCAGGACGGAACGCAGTGCGCTCGTGTACTCTATCGTTACTTTCCTCGATAAGATCGTCACCGGCCTCGTAGTAATACTCATTGAGAGATGGTGAGTAACGTTCGCGATTACGATTGCGTTCGAGCGTGATTGAACGCTGTTTATTAAGTGGTCGCTACTGCGGCCTCTACCGTACTGTGTTTCCTCAGATAAACCGCGCCGAAAACTCGATTGAACACGGAACAAAAGATTTGATTGAAACAACCGAATATCTGGTCGAATATGAACGGACCAGAAATTCCGATTGAAGTAATCCGAATTCTGTTTAAGTTAACAAGATTTTTGGCAGACTAATCAAACATGTCTGGTTATTTAGCCAAATATGTCTGGTTAAATGACAGTTACACTGCTGAACGGAAAATTACAATATTGATACAAGTGCTAAGTATTGGTTGGTGTTTGTAATATCAAGGGCAAAGGAAAATTCCGTCATGAGCTGCACGGGAAAAATATTTGGCTGGATCAGTCGAATTTCCGGTGAAAAATACGAACGAGTCAGAAAATTTCGATTGAGGTCGTCGCAATTCTGTTCGGGTTAGTCAGAAATCTTGTGAATTTGAGTGGAATTTTGGAGACTGGCTGGAATTTCCGGTTTGTTTCTCCAGAAGTTCGATATTTCACCAGAAAATTTTGATTAATTCAACCACTTTCTTTACTCGCGTTGCAGAATACTCGGATAAATGAGCTGAGTATTTCGCGGTGAATTTTAGATCTGCTATTTTCTCGGCGCCATAATCGGTATAATCGTCGCTGATTAAATAATCAGACATGTTTGGTTAGTCTGCCAAAAATCTTGTTAACTTAAACAGAATTCGGATTACTTCAATCAGAATCTGGATCGTTCATATTCGACCAGATAATTGGTTAATTCAACCAAATCATTTTTTTCCGTGAATGTCACGAATTTTGAGTGGATATCGCAAAGACTTATGCTTAGTTTCGCCAACGTCGATTGAGTTTTCGCCTGAAAAATTGTCTACAATGCGTGGAATAAACGTATGAGGTAAAAGCAGAAGGAATAAAACTAATTTATTTCACTTTATATATACGTCTAAACTCTCGAGCTCCCTTGCACCGGAAATATTTATGTGACGAAAAGATTCTCGGCTAAAGTAAGAGAGCTGGAGTATAGACGTAAGCAAAATAAATTTGTTTTTATTTCTTGTTCCTACTCTTACTCCTTACATCAAACTTAGGAGCCGGACACATAAAAAAATGTAAGCACCTCCACCAGACAGCACATACCTCCAAGGGACGTCTTGTGGACGTCCGTAGTTATATCCTCAGGTAGTTATATCTCTTAGAAGGTCTGTGCTGTTTGGATAATAAGATATAAGCAGTAAGCAAATTGACCAATCATAATCGATGATTCTTCTTACGATCCAAGAATCAGCGACTGCAATTGGTCAATTTGCATACTGCTTACGTTTTACTGCTCAAGTTTTTTTGCCATGGCCCTTACTTCACGTAATGTAGATAGTCACTGAGTTTAAACTGTCTTCAGACAAAGACTTCAACTTAGATTATGATTTAATCGACACTCAAGGACGTTTGTGAAATCGGGCTTTAATTAGCGAATTATTTACGCACTATTTATTTACGCACGCTTTCGTGATTTTCAGGAGATGCGACGATAAGGAATTTTGCCCTAACTACAATCGAGACACATTGTCCATAGTGTGCGCCTCGTCGATGCTATTGGGACTGATAACTTTGCTATCAGTATCTCGTTGTTTGACGTGAAACAGAATTATCCGAAATGCGTAAATATAAGCCTGTTTTTTCTCAGTAAACAATCTGTGCGCAGACTGGCGTCAGATTGCAACAGGATCTGTCGACAGATCCATAGTCATCTGCGTTCCCAACTGCCGTCAGACTGCTGACAAAGTCTGCTAACAGGCTCTGACATCAGATTGGCGGCATCAGATGCGTGCAGATCCAGTCGTTTCGTAGGTTCCTCAATTAAATTTTTGGTATAAAATTTTCTCATAATTTTTCATAATTGCTCATAGAATAAGCGCTTTCTCATAAACACTCGTAAAATACAATAAAAAAATAGTTTTTCTATATTATTTTTTCATAATTTTTAAGATTTTCTCTGGTGAGATTCGAACTTGAACCGAAGACATCTTTTGGATAATCGTCCGTCGCCTTAAAGTCCGTATCACACTAGCGATTGGCGATTGATGATTGACGATTGAAGATTTGATTTTGACGAATCAACGAGCTTCAATCTTGGCTTGCTTTGTTCCAATTGATCAAGTTCCAATCTTCAATCGTCAATCATCAATCGCCAATCGCTAGTGTGATATGGACTTTAGGCCAAATTACACTAGCGATTGGCGATTGACGATTAATAATTAAAGATTAGATTTTAATTTAATCGTTAGTGTGATTTGGCCTTTAGACACTACGCCAATTCCTCACTTGATAAAAAGTGCTTTGTATTGTCCACTTAAAGTTTAAGGAAGAAAAATCTTAGAATTTTTTCGCCTTTTAAACCGCAAAATATAGACGAAACCGTTTAGTGTATAAATAATGTAAGAGAGACTGGCACGATAATTCGAAATTAATTTTCTACCAAGGACTGTATAGAAAATTACTGCAATAAAACAACAGATAATGATATTTTTCCATCATGTTAATAAAATACTGTACTTTTACATGTGCGAATTAATTTGGTCAATCGTTCAGTTCAAATTGTATTAACTTTTATCAAAATCAAAGCATATATTTTCAAATACCATCACAAAAATTCTGTAAAAGTTATTTACATAGCGAGGCTAATATTTTATTCGGTGCTGCTGCCTTCAGTACTTATTGCATGACGGTTAAATCGTTTAGATTTAATGACATAACATTAAAAAAAATAATAATATGAGAAATTGTATGAAAAATTATGAGAACAATTTTTACCAAGGATGGCATATGTACGCTTTTAAGTGGTCATTTAACCGTTGTACTATTCTATACTTATACTCGTTATTTCTCTATTATTGTTGCTTTTTTATAAGAAATGTGTAATACAATTTTAAAAAGTAACCTTATTTAATAATAATAATTAACATTATGTCAAGAATTTGCAACATAATTTGTACATCATTTGTGTGCATCTGGTGCTCATGTCATGAGATCACGTAATGATCTTTAAAAAAGTATCAAATTGAATTTTAAAAAATTGTTTTTTATTGTGTATATGTATACAATTATTACACAATATAATTATCTTGACTCCTCTCGAAGTTTTATATGGTGTGTATGTGAAACTGCTCCATTTAATAGCGTACATATGGCTCTTGATAGAATTAAATAACCTATCTAGGAAACATCAGAATCTGCGCACAATCTACCGTCAGAGTCTGTCGACAGGCTCTGCGCGCAATCTGTCATCAATCTGTCGTCAGAACAGATTCTGTGCGCAATCTATTGCTATTCTGTCTACAAACACTGTTGACAGACTTTGCGCAAAATCTGCTCGCGCAGGTTTGGCTATCTGGATTGTAGCTGCACTGCTGAACTAGTGCAATAAGTTATAGTGAGAAAACGTATATTTCAATACGTCTCACTTCAATATATTGCACCAGTTCAGCAGTCAGCTCTAAACCCAGATAGAAAAATGTGTTCATTCTGAGCTCATATTGTATTCATATATCTCCAGACATGAGGACAAGAATAGACACCGATGCGGGCTCATATGCGCCTCAGAATGTAGACATGTTATGATGTCACAAAAATACCTTATTTAATAATAATAATTAACATTATGTCAAGAATTTGCAACATAATTTGTACATCATTTGTGTGCATCTGGTGCTCATGTCATGAAATCACGTAATGATCTTTAAAAAAGTATCAAATTGGAGTCATAGTATAAAGTCACATTGTGATGAAACATGATCATCACGCATTTCTATCTGGGAAGAACAGGCCTTATGACAAAAGGTTATTGTTTCCTGACGCGCGTTCACTGCCCGAGAATTTTTCATACGTATAAATGCACGCTATCCATGACTTAATCGCGACTCAAGAACGTATTAATTGTGGGTCTGCGTATATCGTGTAATTAAATCTCGCATAAAAAAACTGCCAATAAATATTAAAAATATTTTATGTCATGTATCATAATTGTTTTCTTCCTTATATTTGAAAAAAAAATATATTTCAGTCTTTGGAAAATTCCTATCCGGTTAGGCAACAGTTTCCCGAAAAATGGAGGGGATAATGTTGGTGCCAAGGAAAATCTTTACACGATATAATTTAAAGATCTGTTCTTTGTAACTGCACACTGCTGAATTAATACAAAAGGTTAGAGTGAGAAAACGTATACTTGCCTCACTTCAATTTATTGTATCAGTTCAGCAGTGCAGTTACAAAGAACAGATATTTAAATTATATCGTGTAGAGAATTTCCTTGGTATCAACATTATCTCCTCCATTTTTAGAGAAACTGTCGCCTAACCTCCTATCCGATTAAAGCTGCGTTTTTTTTGGACGCTCACGCGCTGTAAACATTCAAAAGGAACGCAGCCTATTATTTTTTTTTATTAAAAATAAAGAGTGTACAAAAAGTGCATCGGTCTAGGTGCTAAGCCTATCCGACCCTTACATAATACGAATTCGAAAATAAATACAGTTTTCTTAGGAGTTGTAATATACAATATTAATAGAATGTAAGTTGAAATCTTAAATCTAGTAACAAGAAAACGCTATGGTTGATTTATCACCAAAGTTATTGACTGGATTGTCTAAAGTATAACGGAAATAGAATTTTCGACGTCTTAATCTAGAATTTTTATAAAATATATGAATGTGAAAAGAGAAATTATTTGCAGCCTATATTTATATGCTGTTATACTTGCGCCATCTACCGGCATTGACAAGATTCACGACTAAAAGAGCCTAGAGCCCATAGATAACTGAAGAATACCGACATTACCGACTATATTTCGATTATATTCACATACCATACATATAGAGTGCTTTCCAATTGCTTAACACATCTTGACACACACGTACACAAAACCAGTTTATTGGTCACATATCATCTAAAATATCTTGTAAAATAATATGCAACCAATAAACTGGTTTAACTGTATAACACAGTGTACGCAATTGGAAAGCACCCAATATATTTTCACTTGAGACTTACAGATTTCTTCTTTAACGAGTCCCAAGCATAGAATGCAGCAGCTCCGATTCCAAACTGCCATAGCTGCAGCGGATGCGTTGTGTTCCTCATTCGATACTTCTAGCGCTCCATTCCGCAAGATGTCCATTTCCTAAGACGGTGTCACGATTGCTGCAAGTGCGCGAAATTTATTTCCGGAATTCCCGACAATATTTTACGTCCGAAACTTGCTTTCGACACTCCCGGCGATATTTTGCGCCCAAAATTTACTTTCAGCACTCCCGGCGATATTTTGTGCCCGAGACTTACTTTCGGCATTCCCGACGTTTCACGCATGCCAGTCTCTTCGATGGGTCCAAAGAATAATCCATTGCGCTTTGAACTTCAAACGGTCATTGCGTGACGAACGAACCAATCGGCAACCACGACAATTCGCTCCACAAAATATTCTGCGCGGCCCGATATCTTGTCACAATAAGTACGCGTAATTTCGGCACTCCCGATAACGCACACGTGAGACTCACTCTCGATGAGTCAAAATCGCGATGAATACGGGACAGTTCGTTGAATCCGACTTGTCGTGTCGCGAGTCGTCCTGCAAATGGCCGAAAAGCAACGGTTGCGATTCTCGAAGCGTCAAGCGTGCAACTTCACTCGGTACTCCCGACAGTACTGGAAGTTTGCGAGATTTTCTCCGCGACAGGAGGTCTATGCACACGTAGACCCATACAGCACAGAACGTTGAAAAAACCTTGATGAGACGTTGCAACGTTGAAAACAGAAGTATGGATGTTTTTTCAACATAGAACTTATGTTGATTTTTCAACATTGATTATAAGATATTGCTAATGCCGTAATGTTGAATATATATTGAACAAAAGTAAAATTATTTGCAACAATATTTGAGGAGCATTGAAAATTATATTATTGACAATATTAATGAACAATTTGTTATTATATAATAATAATAAAATAAATTATTATTAAATTTTATTATATTAATATGTATGTATTATATATATTATATTACAATATACCATAATCATATATATTTTTCTTATTATTTATATGTAAAATTGAAGTGTGTTTAAGTAATTTTGCGCAAACCCTGAATATTCTTTTATTTCATAATATTCTCTATTATTGTATAGAGTCTGACGCAAGCTGTATCGATAACAAAAAATGCATAAAAAACATTAAATTAGAAGGAATAGTTGAAGTCATTTTGCAAATAACTACATAAACTTTAGAGATTAAATAAAATAGATAGGCGAATCAACGCGCGTATTTGCTAGGTACGTTATAATATACTGTGAACACTGTAAGTATACATTTTATAAGCATAAATTGTAAGAACATCGTTGGAGTCATTGGAATTACCGCGTGCCGCTCGATCGTCAGATTAAGCAACGCAGTCAGGATGGATGGTGACCGACATACCGCTTAGGAATTAATTTTTTTTTTATGAAATAAGAATAAATAAGACGTTGAAATGTCAAGGAAATATCAACAATCAATTTTTACATTATATCAAGGTTTGTGCAACGTTGATTCAATGTTTCTCAATGTTGCTGCAATATTGACATTGTTGCAATTCAACATTCAACATTACTGTGCTGTATGGGAAAGTGATGTGCAGTCTGCTATTGGATATCGTATCGTCACACGCATGCACAAAAGGCCTCCTGTCGCGAAGAAAATCTCGTGAATTTCCAAAACATTGACTCCCGACTATCTACTCCACGATATCGGCGATTGTTTTGCGATTGTTGTACACATACACGACACTTACTTTCAGTATTCCTGATGATAATTCGCGCACGAATCTCATGTACAGCAAGTCGAAAATACGAAGAGTACTGCACGAAGATGCACTCCGGGAGAGTAATGGTGCTATGAATGTATGAGATTTTGCTCGGCGTTTTGAACCGTTTGACTCAAGCCGTCCCGCGGGATGTTTTCGTTGTGAACGGGAAACTGTCGTAACAAACACGCACGACACGTACCGGCACTCCCAACGACATTCGTGCGTGAAGCTCATCGTTGATGGGTCAAAATCGCGGCGGATACGAAACGATTCCTCGAATCCGACCTATCGCGCCACGGATTTTCCTGGAACTGACCGTAGCGAGCGGAATGGTTGTTATACATGAAATAGTAGTGTGCATTCGAGCCCGAGCTAGCAAGCGTTTTTCTTCCTCCACTTAGACCTGATTGCACCAACATTATTTTAGTTTTAAGCGAAAATTAAACATATATCTATCTTTATCTTTCTTTCTAAATAAATAAAGACAGATGTATATTTAAGTCTCGCTTAAAACCAAAATAATGTTGATGCAACCGGGTGTTACTCACACAACCGCTCTGTCTATTCATGTGACGACGATCGTCATCACACGGATAGACAGAGCGTTGTGTGATAAGTGCAGCAAGAAAAACGCTTGCTAGCTCGGGCTCAAATGCATATCACTGATTATACGTGGATTAAAATACGCGAATTTCACTTTGTACTCCCAACACTTTATCCCTCCGACATATTCCATCCCATATAGCACAAATCTCTAAAAGATTTCTTACAGAGCTCCAAAAGGGTTCCCAAGTTCTCTAGAACACTTTTGGAATTCTTTAAGAAGTCTTTTAGAGATTTGTGCTATATGGGATCCCACACAGCACGTAATATTATATAATATCACAGCAATATTTCCATAATATTGTAATATCGCAGAAATATTATTGAAATATTACTGTGATATTATATATATTACGTGCTGTGTGGGATATCGACGATTTTCTGACGATATACGCATATAGACGCTTTTTTCCGACATTATCACGATAAATCGCACACAAATCTCATATACAGCGAGTCGAAAATGTGAAGAGCGCCGCGAGGAGATGCACTCCGGGGAAATTATGGTGCTATGAATATACGAGATTTTGTTTGACGGTTCTTTGAATTGCCCGTTTTATTCGAACCGTCCCACAAGATGTTTTCATTGAATGGGAGACTTTGTTATAACAAACGCGTGACACGCTTCAGCACTCTTAACAACAGCTCTTAACAACAGTGAGGCTTATTGTTAGCGGACCGAAATCGCGGCGAGTATGAAACGATTCCTCAAATCCAACCTATCGAGCCACGAATTTCTCTGAACTGATTGTAGCGAGCGGAATGATTATTATGATTATATTCCGTTTCATGCATTATGCGCGCATTTTCTACAATATACGTAACATGAATTATACGTAAATGCGCGCATAAACGAAACGCGGCTTATACATGAATATCAAAGTGCGCAATTTCACTCTGTACTCCTGACATTCTATCCCTCGGTGTGTTCAGTGTCGATGACTTCCTCATAATATTATGCTACGATACACTCATTTCGACGTTTATTACGACATTATCGACGATAATTCGCGCGTGACTCTCATAAATTGAAAATGTCAAGTACGCCTTACGACTGTGCACTTTGAAAGATTATGATGCTATGAATATATGAGACTCTGGTATTTTCGATCACCTTCCCGTGAAGTACGTACGTCGGCAATCTTTGTCATAACAAACGACGATTACCTTCAGCATTGCCGACAGTGATTTGGACGCGAGAGTCACCTGCGGTAAACCATTACGAAAATCATAATCACGGAAAATATAGAATAGCTTATCGAGTTTCCGCGATCCATTTCGTTAATCCCTGGTCTACATTCGGTGATTTAAGGCCCGATCTACAATAGATGGAGTAAAGAGTAGGAGTAGGAGTAAAACGAAATGGAAATAATTTATTTCGCTTACTCCTTTACTCCAATAAAAGTTTGCCCGTCTACATCACATAGAGTAAGCCTGAATTGAGTAGTAAGAGCTGGAGTAAGGAGCTGGAATAAGGGAGTAAGCGAAATAAATTATTTCCATTTCGTCTTACTCCTACTCCTACTCCTTACTCCATCTATTGTAGATCGAGCCTTAGTCTCAATCCCTAAGCTTTATTCCTTGTCCACAATCTTGCTTTAATCTTTAAGCCATAATAAATTGACCAACCACAGTCGATTAATTTAAAAATAATAAACCGTGATTGGTTAATTTTTTACGGGTTAAGAATTAAAGCAATGTTGTGGACAAACGGATATTCTTACAGCCATTGTAGATGGGCCTTAAGATTCTCTATCGATGCTGACGTAGTACCAATCACAGCAGCTCCAATCCAGTCCAATCAGATTTACCCTTTCGAAATACACCAAGTTGCACTTTTTGTGACATGGTGTATCTTGAAAGTGTAATAAATATTCTTTAGAAATTCAGGGTCTGTTTTCTATTGCTGAACTGGCTGCACTAGTTCTCTCTCACCTTTCTTCCATTAATTTATCTGTACATCTGTTTTTTTTTTAATTCTAAAAGTGTATACTAGTTCAGCAATAGAAAACAGACTTCCCTGGCGAAAATAGAAATTGGAGAGTAAATAAAATGTAAACAAAGAGTGACGGAAGTGTAAGCGCTTCACTTACACTTCCGTCACTCTTCATTTACATTTATTCACTCTCCATTTCTATTTTCACCAGGGCTTCAATAGAAAAAGCAAGAAGGGAACAAAAGATCATAAAGAAAAAGCAGAAGATTTGTTTAAGAGAAACATTTTGTCACATTCAAAATATCAAAACAAATAATATCAATGTACGAAACGAGTGTCATCATGTATCTCAGCTATTTGAACGATCCTAAGCTGCGTTCCGAAATTCACTGCTAGTGCTGAATTTCGGAACGCAGCCTTAGTTACAAAGGCCGCGTTCCGACTCAGGTAGCAAGATAACGTCTACAAACGTCATTAAAACACCATTAAGACGTCTATGAAGTCTTAATGACATTTTAATGACGTCTTTAGACGTCACCTTGCTATCTGGGGAATTACGCGCGTATTTATCTACAGTTCATGTCACATATACTGTAGAAAATGTGCGCGTACTGTGTAAAACGGAACCAGCCAAAAAAGGTGACGTCACGCGCAACCCGCGGCAGTTTCATTTCGTCTCGCGGCAGTTAGAAGCCGGATTGCGACCGCTCTGGTTTGTTTCATCTTTTACTCGCTGACGGCGATTTCGCGAATGAACGAGTGTCGGGACTGCCACATTAAATGCCGGGCGATCGTTTTAGCGTGTTGATCGGGCCGTGCGAGTGCAATTAAACGTGATATCTTCCGATATTTGTAACCGACTCGTCTTGTCACATTGGGAACATGGCGTCGTGCGAGTGAAATGCGCAATGCATTCGTTTCTGTTTATGACGGGATCGATGCTTCAAAATTCGATACTTGTATCACGCTTTCGCATTTCGGTAAGTTTGCCCTTTGATGTAAACAACGACGAGATATAGTTAAACATCATTGTCCGTCGATAAAGTTTCGTATATCATTCGCAGGGGTAAATGTAAGGAGAGGGAAAGAAAAAGAAAGAAAAAGGAAGGTAGAGAAAGACAGGCATAGAGAGAAAGAAAAAGAGAGAAAGGCAAGCAGTTCCATAGATGTATATGTAATATTGCCACACTGTGTATGTTGAATGTGTATCGGGACATCTGAGGAGTGATAGATCATAAAATGAATATCGCATCACGTAGACCAGCCAGCCTAATATCACAAACTCGTCCTTGAATAACGTCTCGTATTGATGTCGCGCGCAAGTATATTTTTGACACCGCGCGCGTCACTTCGGCGCGTCCACTTCAGATGTCGCCCCGTGTACGATCAGCGGAGATCTTCGCGGGCACTCGGTGCAAAAGACAACGCGTAGCGCCCGCAGTTACGGTGGCGTATGAGGGTACGATGACCCGCTTGTTCGCGCGTTATGTGCTCGTTCGTCGCGATTGCGTCGTAGTACGTCAAAGCAGATATTCGCTTTATCGCTTGTACAAAGCGGTAGGGAAGGAGGTGGGAGAACGTAGACGGCCGCTGAGCCACCGCGCAGACTCTTATTTTGTTCGGCGGGCGAGGGGTGGCCGGAGACGGACGCGCGTTTACGGGGCATGGCGTGGTGCGCGTTCTAGTAAACAAGTTGTGTGCGAGTCGCGCGGGGAATCTGCGCCCCGAGTTAATCGCGATATTTATTCTCCGGCGTGGCCGTCCCGTCGCGCGCCACGACGAGTCGCGTAGCTGTCGTCGTCGTCGTCGCTGCCGCCGCCGCCGCCGCCGCCGCCGCTGCCGCCGTCGTCACCCGTTTGAAACTTTCGTTATTCTTAATACGGAGGTTAGGGTAATAAGCGGATTAGCTCGGACACAGTGAGCCGATCGCGGACCGTCCTGTGTGCTATGAATACGTGTGTACGCGAGTGTGAGTGTCGCTCGTGTTTGCGGAGGAAAGTGTTGACGGTGTTCACCGGTCCCGGATCTCTAACGAGGCGACGACTTTCGGTCGTGGCCGAGGAGCGAGGGAGTTGATGCGTGATGACTTCGGCACACATCTTGGAATCCCCGCCTGGACGCCGCGATTCGGTGAGTAGCATTTCCATCCAGCGCTTTCTCCTACTTCGTTTTTTCGTCGCACACACGCGAACCGTCGTCGCCGTCGTCGTCACCACCGCCGCCGCCGCCGCCGCCGCGACTCATCTTTTTTGTCCATGACGTATTCCCGTAGCGATTTGGCTGTTACACCGCGAGAAATGTCGTCAAACGCGCGCGACATCGATTCCGCTCCGAAAGAGTTCCCCTCCCGCTCCCTCCTTCCCGCGAGACGCCTTCAGATGACGTTTTTGTCCGCGGAGACGTCTCTCGCCTTCTCTGTTTATTTTCCGTCTCTCCGAATCGTGTTGTCCCTTTCGTCCTCGATCGAGGAGGTGCTCGGTCGAGCGAGTAGGAGCGAGAGGGGAGGAAGAAAGGATAGGGAAAAGGTGCGCGCGAACAGCACGCTCGGAATGTTTTCGGCGCAATGTGTCGCTCCTTGGGCGTTGCTCCTCTCGCGACTCGACTCCGTGCCGAGCGAAAAAGTGTTTTTCCACGAAACGTGCGTGCTTTCACCGGCGGTGTTTGCGCGCGCGGCACAGCGTGGCGCGGCGTAGCGCGCCATAGACCGTGCGGGTATCAATGGCCTCCGAGGCCGCCGTGAAAATTGCTCGCTCGCTCGCTCTCTCACACGCGAGAAGGGCGATTAGAATACGTGGAGCAAAGAGAGGAAGCGATGTGTTCTCTCCACGTAGGAGGAGGCGGCGGAGGTTTCAGAGGAAGGAGGACATGGAGGCGGACCGCCTCGTCGTTTCTACGAATCTCGGTTAGGGTGACGCGATTCGGCGACGTCGTGTTGTTTCCTACGGTAAAAGGCCCTCGAGCGCGTCGATAGGCAGAGAGAAAGAGAGAGAGAACGATTATATCGCGCTCCACGATATTTCTCTCTTTAATCACTGACCTCGCGGTCGCTCGGCTAACCTCGTTCGCCGGCGCGTTGCGCCGCGCCGTCGCGTCGTAAGGGGAATTTCGCGACGACATCGTCGAGAGAGAGAGAGAGAGAGAGAGAGAGAGAGAGAGAGAGAGGGCCGTGTGGACCGTGAATTCGGCTCGGTTCGTCTCGGCTCGCTTCACGGCTCGATCGGAACTCTTGCGCCCAGATATTCTTTCTGGAGAAGATTCTCGCGCGCTCTCGTATCGATACTGTGATATATGAATTTGTTATTTGCACGCGCAAAAGAAGAAAGGCTTTCCGCGTGCCGACCGATTTGTCTTTTTCGCCCTCACTCCTCCCTGAGACCTCGAAGAGACGACGCTCCGTCTTCTTCTCCTCTGGGAAAACAGCCGCAAATATTTTCGCGAGATCGAATTACACTCGTCGGAGACCGCAATTCTACGCTATCTCCGGCGCTTTGCGACACTTCGAGTCGAAACGACGCGCATTTATCTTCATGAACGCGCTGCAATTCGACGAAACGCGATCTCATTGTCGAGGTTCTTCTTCTTCGTCGTGGAAGGCGGCGCGCCGCATCGTGGCCGAAAATGGGCGCCGTTCCTTTCCGCGATTATTTCCGAGTCTCTCGGTGCGCGAAGGCAGGCGAAAGTATCGATCGTGAGCGTTCTAGTCGTTGACTTCGGGACTTGAGACTTCGATTAGTGATAGCGCAACGAAATATATTTGATACTATATTGGCGCTGTTGAGTGAAAAGAAAAATAAAAGATAGGTGTATGTATGTACAATGGGGGGGTACATACATATGTATCTTAGGGGAACGCGCGAAGGACGTCCGTCGCGAACGAAACGACCGCAAATCTGTCACGCAGCTGATTTTTAAGAGATTCGAGAGATATCGACACGTGCGAGATAACTGTCGAATGCCGCCGCGAGTACAATCAGCACGATTACGCGCGGGATCGGAGTGTCCGCGGCGTTGCGCGCGTTATTTCGCCTGTGTCGTTAAATGCCTTCCCATTAAGCTGGCGCAGCGGAAAGTTAACGCGGAACCGCGCGAATAACGATGACATTTACGACATCATAGACGTCGGGCCCAAAGTTGCGCCCGCGCCGCCGCCTCTCTCAGCTGAGGCGCAGAAGGCAAGAGCGTTCTGCGAGGAGGCGCGCAGCCTTGAGTATATTCGAAAAAATGCATTCGGATTATTGACGGCCGACATTAACGGCAGGTAATAACGCCACGGCGCATTGCGTAACTCTTCGGCGCGCTTTATTATCGCGAGGGTCGCCTGTCGTGCGTGTTTCTTCCTTCATCGACCCTTTTCGGCGCTGTCGAACACTTTGCATTTACAACAAGAGCGGCCGCGCCGGCACTAACGATGCGGCTTACAAAGCCCTCACGGTATCGAGCGCGCGCCTTCGAAATAATCGATATTTCATTACGCCATTGTCGTCTGTGTGCCGGGCGCGAGAGCGTGTGGAGCAATCACGACGGAGATTATTAAAGGAAGAAAGCAAAGGTTTTGCGGGGTTCACCGATATCTCAACGAATAACGGGAGACCTCTCGCGCGCGCTTCTCTCCTCTTGAAATCGTTTAACGGAATGACACGTCGCCGACTCTCTCTCTCTCTCTCTCTCTCTCTCTCTCTCTCTCTCTCTCTCTCTCTCTCTCT